AACGACTTCCAAGCTATTTATACAGAGTGATTCGGGCTGATTTCACATTCGGAATACGCAGAGAGAGAGGGAGAAGCAGCAGACAAGTCTTTATTTTCTATGAGGCATAGACGCCCCTGCATTGTGCCTTCTAGAGTGACTTCTATTATCGATAGCGACGGGTCTGCAGCACCTGAATGTCAATTAGGTGAGGAACTTGAGGAAAACCATCCTTTAGATCTTACGTTGAGGATGATCTGTTCTTGCGACTCACGGTGTCAAGAACCAAGTAGCAAAGTCCCCTTTAAGAACGTCATCAAAATGGACAATATTACACTTAATCGCTCTCCCCCCCCCTACCCTGGGAATTTCATATTCTCCAAATTCCGTTTGGAGGCACGTGCGGCTTAGAGTTCATTCCGCTTCGCTGCAGTGATGTACAAAACGATAATTTTATGTTTTGTTATGGTTATTTCTCTCAATATTATTAACGCGCTATCTCTACTGATAATTTTTTAATAATAAAAGGAAAGAACCTTTCCACTTGTTTATATTTATAGCGGTCTGTTTTCCAGTTCAGAAATGTCATAATCACGAGGCTGTTTACCTGTTTTATGGCTTTTCAACGTTGCTCACTCAGATTCCACGCTCAGCATGTGGCTAACAACATGACACGTTTGCTTTTTCATCGACCTGGCTTCCTTCTATGCCTTTGCCCTTGCTTCGATCTAGGTTTCACTTCAGCCTTTTCATTTCCATATTGAAGCTTTTCATTTTCCAAGGCTTCTGCGAAGAGAACTGGAAGACTAACCTTCACAACTCTTACGCTGGCAACAATCAGGAAGCAGTCCTTTTTTGCGTCTTTTCACTACTGCTCCTGTTTAAGCGTATTCTTTTAAACTCTGACGAAACAGTGACGCCTGGTATAAACAAACGGTGAACATTGAACCTTGCTCTTCCCGTGCCCCCCCCCTTCCGCTGCATTTCCCCCACTCCTGCTCGTCGGTCGGTTGAAAGTGACATCGCTGATATAAGCACGACTATCAATAGCTGAGTATCATTGCAAAACAGCAGTAGGCTGGTAAGTAATGATTACATGGTATGCTTCACCATCGCAAGCAAAGAAACAGTTGTAAATAACAACCTTTTAAGAATACGGTCACATAACAATTGAGACGTTAGAAAACTGCATCCAAGAGAAATTGGTGCTGATGTTTTCATCGGCAAATAGAAAATGCGGTGACAGAGAAAACGCTATCTTATTTACCATAATATAACACCTTCTAAGCAAACAGTCTAATAAAAACGTCTAATTTTGCGTCCATGCTTAAAGTCTGCTGGAAACAAGGCTTGATAATGAGCTATTCGCTGCGTGCATAAAGTTGGAGGATTTCCTTTCGTAGTAGACCAAAGCCTTTCATTGAGAAACGCGTTCGAAGTCAGTCTTGAAGCATAGCCACTCAAGGTAAGCTGGAAGTTAGTTTTCAAATTCGATATCAGTGCGAGTAAGAGTGGATAGAAAATGATCCTTAATAAGCACAAGGGAATAACATACGAAAATAATTACGACATCACCTGCAGAAATCACCCCTAGTTTATATGCGGTCAGGGAATTGGTAGTGGTGTCTTGCGGTGCCTCTGTCATGTCAGTATTGCTCTGCAGCATGGAGAGAATTGTTTTACCGAACGAGCATGAACAACTATTGAATTGCGTACAACAGTCCTCCATTCGATGCGTAATGAGAGCTACATGGCAGGACCACGAAAGGTATGTCTGTATTGTTTTCTGAGCACAGAAGAGCTCGGTAGATGTGGATATTAAAAGAATGACGTTGGCCCTGCTAGACGATTTGGCTGAGCATACATCATTAAAATCATCCAGCGGGCTTCACGTGTGGGAGCAGAAATTTGGCGGACGTACATCAGGCTGCCAGGATGCAACATTGAAAAACACGATGAAGGTAGACCTGCTTGCTTACGGATAGGAAATGCTATTTCCGGCGCTTTACGGCAACAGTGCTGAAAAAGCGCAATACAGGGCAGATCACAAACCAGAGACGTTCTGCTTTTGCATACGGCTTAAGGTGACAATCTCAATAAGCACATGAGGGTATGGTGGTTCTCTGGGAGACTATTTCTCATCTTATTGCTCTTTAAAGCAGAAATTTTGTTCGACTGAGTAAGGCAGAGTCTCATTTATTTACCTGATGCACAATTTCGCGCAAGTCGGATCAACAGTGTTCGTTCGTAAGTAATTAGAGGGAAATTACGCTCATTTTTTACTCATAGACGAACTTGACATATCATACGAAATATTAAAGATTTTCAGAGGTCTTTTGCCATCAGGGTCAATAGGTCGATGCAGTGATATAGAGAGCCGTGAGAATGTAAATGCGTGTTATGCTTACGTTTGCAGCCATGAATGACTGTTACTCCCGATATTCTTACCCTACAGTGCTGTCTTCGAGCACTGTGGAAGTTATCCGGAAATGGTTTGCGAATCGCCAAACGTTCGTCCAGGCGGTGAACTTCGACTGTGTGGATTTACGTCGACCCTTCGAAGGGCATTTCTGTTCGGAAGCCTATATTGAGCGATGTGCACCTGTATAGTATGATTTCTGAAGTCGACTTGATCAGCAGCAAATGCCATAAACTCCGTGGAAGGTGGTTACGGAGTTCGTTCCTCGTAGACCACACTGAGTTCTTACACGTGGATCGGTATAACGTGCTGTGTTG